ATGGTTTTAATAGCGTAAGCAGGACATTGATCGAAAGCTTGAGTCCCTTAATGTTCACTTTTTGCACATTTGGTCATCTCAAATTTTTATCTTTCAAAATTTTTTTTTAATTTTATCATTTGAAGCTGCGAAAAGTTAGCATTCGTATACTAGAATATTCACATTATTTTGGCTTTTTATTAAAATAAATAAGGAAAAATAATGAAGAATTGCAAGTAGCAATTTTTGTTTCAATTAGCAATTATCGTTAAATAAGCACATTTTATTTTCTAGAACAAAATTTTTTTGATTTGCTTTATTAGTACCGAAAAATAAATAGTGAAAATAGCACTATGGGGTCGACTGCACTGCTGTCTATACTAACTCCCCTTAATATTAACGTACACTATTCAAACTCGGTCAGGTATTAGATTATAACATATTATGGTACTGTACCAAAGGAAATAAATGTACATAAATTAGCGAACCCGGGAAATAATTATAGAAAAAAAAGGGACCATGAAACTTTAAAAGCTGTACTGATAAATATTCCCGTTTCGCCTTTTATTATTAAGTCATAATATTTAAACTCGGTAGATATTAAATTATAACATACTATGGAACCATACCAAAAGAAATTAATTATACACAAAGTAGGGAGCCCACAATGTGGCATTATATGTAAGCATGTTTGTATATATATTTCAAAGTACGTTCAATAGCGTTCAAATTAATAAATTGTTGCTAATATACTGCATACATCCTATATCTCCCCTTCATATTTAACCTATAATATTCAAACTCGGTCAGGTATTAGATTATAACAAATTATGGTACCATACTAAAAGAAATTAATTGTTGCAAGATAATTAATTAGGGAGCCCACAATGTGGCATTGTATGTAAGCATGTATGCATTGATTTCTAATTGCGTTTTAAAGCGTTAAAATTAATAAAATGGTTGCTTATATACTGCATATATATATGGGCCTATACCTCCTCTTATAATATTAAACAATAATATGTATACTGACTATATTTTCCATGTTGCGGTTACTCTCCTTCTACCATATTCCTTCTACCACAAAAATCCATATTCCTCGAGGGAAAAAAAAGCGCAGTTATCGAAAAATTGCGTTATAAAAGTGCGTTTATATTGCAAAATTTCGTTTTTAAATCTGATTTTGTAGCTGTTGTTGTAGTTAATTTACGTCACACTAGAGCTGCACAATGGGCTATTGGCGACGGTCTGGGAAACATCCCTGAGGATGATCCGAAGACATGCCATCCCAATTTTGATCCTCTGCAGAGGGGATGGCATCCCTGCTTTGGTAGCCCAACGACCTGCACGCGAAGTCGAGCACTTTACGGTGGAACAGTTTAACGAGGACCCATACCGCACACCCTCGGTCCCTACGCAGATTGATCCAAGTGGTCACCCACCCACACACTGTCAGCAGCCAGTGATGCTTAACTTCGGTGATCTGCTGGGAAAGGTGTCTTAACGATCAGTCCACTACGGGACGAATTTGTAACTGAAAATAGCGTCTGTGCTAATTAATAGTCGAACCATTAAGTTAACCATTAATTAATAGTCGAACTTTCGAACCATTAAGATCGAGTCCTACTACATAAAAATCAGATTATTAAATTTAATGACATTTAATGTTTTCGCTTTTCTTTTTCGCACAATGCGTCAATGTTTTGCATGCATTTTGCATGATACAGAAATAGAGAAAGCATCATTAATAAAGAAGGGTCATAAGTTTTTTTTTCTTCATGCACAATTTTTAGATTGTTCCGGAAAGAGTTAAGACCCGAAAATTGCTTGATTCGTATAAAATGGCAGCCAACAGAAGAAATAAAAAGGGAATTTTTTTTTTTTTTCCTCGGTAGGAAATGAGTGTGAGTGACCCGGATGTGGTTTTCGGTAAGTAATTCGGGTTAATCGGGTTAAGCCTTAAGTTCAAATATTTAATCACGAAAAGGGAATATAAACTTTTTATTGGCAATATATATGAATTATTAGCCATTTCGTTTAGTCTCTTTAGGTTGAAAACTCGAGTTATTGTTTATGCTTTTTTATATATGGTAATTATTACTATGTTCTTTTTCAACATACATTTAAGTGTGGGAAAGTAGATTCACGAATTTAAAATTTCGGTTACTTTCCAACTAGCTGGTGCACTCCAATTTCTACTAGACAAAATAAGCTCCAATTACGACAAGAAGAATTTTTATAGCTATGCGCTATACCGAAAAATCAATTTTTCGGCTATTTTTCTATCAGCTCCAATCTCTACTATGTTCGCTGACATTGCAAATCGCAAATGAAATCTGTTTTATTACCTTATACGACAATGTAATTAAAAAATCAACGTAAGGAACAAAAAATTCAAAATTGAGATCTCTATATGTTTGACATTTTTGTATGGTAAGCTACACATTGCAAAAAGAAAAAAACATTTATAATTAAAAAAAATTAAATGTATGTCAATACAATTGTTTAATACAACAAGCACAATTTCTATCGCCATGTTATAATCGAATAGAATAATTAAAATTCGGATCTCTTTTCGACTAGCTATAGTACTCAAATTTCAACTGGACCTCCTTTTTTAAAAATATACAATAATTATCTAATACAAGTTACACTAATTTATTGAATGGTGCAAACAAAATGTATCGCTATTTCAAGTTTTGACTGTTTTTGGTATAAATTAACAGATAAAACGCTAAAAAGAATAATTATAAAAACTAACAATTTAAAAAGTGTATTTTACAAGTAGACTAAATAGGCGAAAAATAACATTTTTGTTAGATAGTTGTTTCATTACTTTCGTAATAAACGTTTATTACCACGAAAAGCTTCGTCCACGTCCTTAGTGATGCGCCTTCTGAACTTTCGTTTTAAATCTGACAAAATTTGAATCATTTTCTCCCATTTAGGTCTTTAACGAACGTAGTTTTAAAAAACTAAATGCGGGGTATATTTTATTTTATTCTTGGATTCAATTCGCTTCAATTTGTTTTAAAAAAATGCTTTTATTAACAAATATAAGAGAACTCCTGGATCAACTATAGGGAGAAATTTGGCTTCGTGGAGGACTTTTTGATAGAACTATCCCGCATTTGCGTTACATGGAGGGGAAAACCGCAAAAAACCTCCCAGGGTTAGTCAGGCGGTAAGGGGACTCTAAGCCCATGATCCGTCTACCACTGAGGATATTTTACATCAGCACTGTGGTCGGTGCTAGCCTGATTCGGAATTCGTATCGACCAGCCATCGCTGGGATTCGAACTCTGTTCAAATCATTGGAAGACGAAAGCTCTATCCCCTGAGCCACCACGGATTCCATATAAATTATTATCACATTTATTATAACTATATTTTTAATAATACAATTATTAATAGGAATAAATAATAACAGCATATGTGAATAAATAACAACAGGTCCTATTTTATAACGCTTCGTATCTTACAATCCAAAGCACCTGTTTTTAATTAAAACCTTGAAACGGGAAAAAGATTATAATATGCAATTAATTATTTTTTTCAAAAAGAAAAGAAAATTTCAATTTGTTAACATTAATGAGTGTGTTAAAGACGTTCGATGGAAGCTGGTTTAGTTTTGTTCTTCATTATTTTCTAACCACAGAGAAAACTCATTTGAAAATGGTGTCGCAAAAATGATTATTTAAACGGGTTGTGTGGAATGCTGCAGTTTTCTTTTATGCTTCCAGACGAAATGGACTGTGAAAATGAGACTTTTTTTTTTCCATACAAATAAAACACATCAAAAGATATTCTTTGTTTGTAGAGTATTTGCAGGAAGTATATAATTGCGTCCAGCTATAATACATTTGATGCAATGTAAAACTTGAATTCAAATACCTTAGTACTACAAACTATTTTATCACTTTGTTCATTTTACCTGATGAAATATGAACTTTGATTCGAATATTTTGCACTATAAATGAAATGCACTATACTTAGAAAAAATGTTATCTGTAGCTCGAATACTTAGCGTTAATAATATGAGACGAAGCAATACGTAAACTTTATTTCAAATACTTTTAAGATATAAGTTTAAGCCTTTAAACTTAGTACCATGTAAATATCTATTCGAATATTTTACACTGTAAATTTAATACATTGAAATCAACATATTGTAAACTTTAACGTAAATATTTTGTGCTTTACTCTCGTACAATTGTAACTCTGAGTAATTTTACAACTGTAAATCGAACAACTGTAAATCTGAGGCTTAACATTTGACACGTAGTAAATTTTAATTCGAATATTCCATTCAGTAAATTTGATACTTAATTCTTGACAGATTGGAGACTTACGCACGCTAATAATTATACTTTACATTTAAGACATTGCTGAGATTATTTTGAATATTTCACTCTATACACTTAAAATTTAAATTAATTTTATTATTTTTATTTTGACAGAAGGTAAAATAACTCGTAATTTTGATAAAAAAAAATAGATGTGACACATTGTAAGCATTGTTTTGAACATTTCGAACTGTTCATTTGGGGTTTAACGCTTGAGAAAATTCAAATTTCTATTCAAATATTTTTTTGGTTTGTACTGACACATTATGTTCCACTTTAATTCGAATACTTTGTACGGTAAATTTAGTGCTGTACTCTGAATACTGAATACATATTGACACACTGTATAGATGATAATTAAATTTCCCTCATTGTACACTTTAATTCGAATACGAATTGAGACTTTACACGTAAAACAATATAAATTTTAATTCTAGTACTTTACAATTTTTATGCATGCCAATGACGTTGAAAAGGCGACCCATTTTTGGGCTTACGGCTATGAATGTTCAACTTCATAACCTTTTTAATTTTGAACCCAATCCAGAAGACAAAGGAACTCTTACATCAAAGACAGAGTAGAGACATGGGACAGAGTAGCCTTTGGGTGGACTTTTTTTTCGAACTAACCCATACTTGCATTACATGGAGAGGAAAACCATGAAAACCACTCACCATTTTCCATCATTGGGAGGGAGCACTCCTTCCCCTGAGCCATGGTGACCCTTTAACTTCTCAGTAACCGGAGTCAACTCCGAATCAGGAATTCCTTGACTTCAACTCCGATACCACGGTCCTTGGTATAGAGGTCGCTTCCTGCAGAAGTGACATGAGTTCGAATCTTGACGAAAGCTCAGCAAATCATATACTGTTAAAGAAATGAACACATTTTTAAAAACAATTAAACTGTAACCCAAACTGCAGTCTTGTCTGTCGAAATAAGAATAAAAAAAGGAAGAGAAAAAACTACTAAGATAGGTAAACAAAAATTAAAAAAGTAGTTCCATTTTTCTTATAAGATTAGCTTTTTCTTTATTAAATCGGTCAATGTGATTTACTTTTCTCTAAAAGAAGTTAGTGTCTTAAGCCCAAAAGTCGATAATGCGCATATTTCCTAGCTAATCGGCAGGTTAACTATTTTGGTTTGTTAAAGCGTGGAATCAATGTTTTTCTGCATTTTGCTTTGATAATGTGCACAGCAACGGTCGCCATATTGTTAAAGTTCACAAGTTTCTTCTTCTTATTCCATCAACTAATTTGTTGATTGTATTGACTTGATTCCTACTTTGTAGATTCAATTCAGTTTATCCTTTAGATATTCGAAAAAAAAAACAAATAGCATTATGTTGATTTTCTTAATCGGGCCAATACTTTGAATCGTTTATTCTTTGTATATTGTGGTTTTTTAAGTGGTTGGTTCTATCAACTAATCTGCTGATTGAATTAAACTCGATTTTTTTTTAGAAAGCGAAAAATAAATAAGTAACATTATGCTAATTTTAGCGTGCAGAAACGTTGCTCCAGCTAAGATCCCAGAAAAGGCCTGGTTTCTTAGTACAGAACGCCGTCAGCTGGAAATTAGCGCTAACCTCTAATTGGTCCATTTGTGAGTTTGATAGTATACGTCATAGAGTTCAAGATGAGCGTTCGATGACGTACACTATCAAACTCACAAATGGACCAATCAGCGCTGATTTCCAGCTGACGGCGTCCTGTCCTAAGAAACCAGGCCTAAAGCGTGTAACCTTACGGCAACCTTGTGCCAAAATTTTATTTTTACTGTCATGAAAATGTTTGCATTAAAAAACCTTTTTTCAATAAAGCAAAAATATTGCAGTTTTAAAACTTTCATCCGAAAATAGTTGAAAATTATTTTTAAAGATTTTTTTTAAAAAGTATTGTCACTTAGGCAAAATGGCCACTTAGGTTCATGATGACGTTTTAGCTGACGTCACGCTAGCAATAGGATCAAATTACATCATCCATTGAAATTTCATGACAAGGTGGATTTTAGCTGAGCATACAAGACGTTGCGAAAATAAACCTTATAATTACCTATATTTAAGATTATTTTCACCTTGAGCTTTATTAAAGGATTTTTAAATGCTTGAAAATCCTAAGACAACCTCGATTGAAGGTTTTTATATAGAAGATTCTTTTTTAAGGTTTTGGATTAAGGTAATGTGCGCAGAATAGAGCAGATTGTCACAGATCCCGTTTTTAGATTCGAAGGTTTTCGCGTAAACCGTATAAAAACCTTTTTAGGTTTACATTAAAAGATTTTTGCTGAGTGTAAATGAGCCTTATTTTGCTACCTGGAACTAATAACTAAAAAGGGTTGTTATGCGATTTACGTGTAAACCTTCCAATCTTAAAACGAGATCTGTGACAATCTGATCTATTCTACGCTCAATACCCTCATCCAAAAGCTTGGAAAACAGCATTCTATATAAAATCCTTAAATTGAGGTTGACTTAAGGTTTGAAAAGCGTGAAAAAAATCCTTGAATAAAGCTAGTCTCAAGGTGAAAATAACCTTATATCTAGGTAATTATAAGGTTTCTTTTCGCAATGTCTTGTATGCTCAGCTAAAATCCACCAAGTCTTGAAATTTGAATGGACAATGCAATTTTATCCTATCGCTAGTGTGACATCAGCTAAATAGTCATTATGGACATTAAATGACAATACATTTTTAAAAACCTTTAAAAAACTTTTTTAGTCCTTTTAGGATGAAAGGTTTGAAACTGCAATATTTTTGCTTTACTGAAAAAAGGTTTTTAGTACAAACATTTTCGTGACAATAAAAAGGAAATTCCGAAACAAGGTTGCCGTAAGGTTTACACGCTTTTAGGGATATAAGTGAGGTTAAAAATCTAAATTTCGAATTCGAAAAAGGTTAAAGTTTGTGGTTTAAATGCACAGGATGCGAAAGGAATCCACTTTGTTTTAGTTTGCCGCTGAATGATTCGAAAAATCTTACATCTATCTGTTATGTTAATGATATCCTTGTTCAGTATTGATTCTATCGAAAAATCGTTTAAAGCTATACAAATAAAGAGAAATCCAAAAGGAGTGATTCTGATAAAGATCTTGAAAAGAATGGTTTTGAGGTCGAAGGCACATTTTAAAACATTTACTTTTTTTCTTACCTTCATTTATTTTATTTTATACTCACGATAAATTTAATTATAGATTTCTTTTTAACTAAAACTGTGTATCTTAAACCGTGACAAATATAAATATGCTTCAACTAACACTGTATACCCTTAACAAACGTATAATTATAGAATGATTTTGAAGTATTATGATTAAATAAATTAGCAATATGTTGACATTCTAAATTAGTAAGAGGTATCTTAGGGCAAACGTAGTTATAGAATTATTTTCACCTAACAATAGTTATCTGTACTGAAGGCAAATTTATTTACAGAATAATTTTGAAATAATGGAATTATAGAATTCATTTAAAAGAACACTATGCCCCGCCTTAAACAAGGCAAATTTAGTTATAGAAATCTTTTTAACAAATACCCTGTATCCTCAACTAAGACAAACTTAATTATAGAATTTTTTTTCAACTTACACTATGGACCATTTCTCAAATAAGGCAAACTTTACTGTAGAAGTCTTTCCAACTAACACTATGGATAATTTCTCAAATGAGGTAAACTTTACTGCAGAATTCTTTCCAACTAACACTATGGATCATTTCTCAAATAAGGCAAACTTTACTGCAGAATTCCTTTCAACTAACACTATGGATCATTTCTCAAATGAGGCAAACTTTACTGCAGAATTCTTTTCAACTATCACTATGGATTATTTCTCAAATGAGGCAAGCTTTACTGCAGAATTCTTTTCAACTAACACTATAGATAATTTCTCAGATGAGGCAAGCTTTACTGCAGAATTCTTTCCAACTAGCACTATGGATCATTTCTCAAATGAGGCAAACTTTACTGCATAATCTTTTCAGTAACTAACACAATGTACTCTTGATCATGATAAATATAATTATAGAGCTATTTTAACCAACCCTCTGAATTATAGAATCATTTAAAACGAAAACTATTCTTCCCTGACTAAAGCAAATTTAATTATCAAATCATTTTAAACCACCTTTAAAAGTTTTTACCTAAGACAAATTGAATTATGGAGCCATTTAAAATCAACACTATACACTGAGTGGCCAAATTATTATGACCACCCCTTCAGTCGTCTGCTTCCATACCCTATACGGCGCAATGTGCGTCGAACAGTACGTTCAGAGACGTTCACAGTTGCTCCTTGATTAAGATCACTTGCAATTTGTCGCACTGTTGCTCTCCTGTTATGCTGCACAACCCTGGTCAGCCTTCTCTCTGATCGAGCATTCAGTACCCTGTGACGACCACAAGTCTGACGTTGAGANCTTTCCAACTAACACTATGGATAATTTCTCAAATGAGGTAAACTTTACTGCAGAATTCCTTTCAACTAACACTATAGACCATTTCTCAAATAAGGCAAACTTTACTGTAGAAATCTTTCCAACTACACTATGGATCATTTCTCAAATGAGGCAAACTTTACTGCAGAATTCCCTTCAACTAACACTATGGATCGTTTCTCAAATAAGGCAAACTTTACTGTATAATTCTTTTCAATAACTAACACAATGTACTCTTGATCATGATAAATATAATTATAGAGCTATTTTAACCGACCCTCTGAATTATAGAATCATTTAAAACGAAAACTATTCTTCTCTGACTAAAGCAAATTTAATTATCAAATCATTTTAAACCACCTTTATAAGTTTTTTACTAAGACAAAGTGAATTATGGAATCATTTAAAATCAACACTATATATATTTGACCTAGGCAAATTTAATAATAGAATTATTTTAAACGAAAATTTTGTCTGAATTATTTTTAATTAACTCTATGTATCCTTGACCAGGGCAAATTTATTATAGAATTCCTTTTATTAAAATTATGTATCATTAACCAAGGTAAATTTTTTTATAGAATTCTTTTTACTAAAACCATGTATTCTTAACCAAGGTAAATTTTGAGAATAGCAAAAAATAATAATTAGTTAAGCGTTGTTTGCAATGTCGGTAAAATTGTAAAAGAATAAGGTTAAGAAATAATTATGAAGTAGTACTGCAAGCAGCAATCTTAACTTGAGATTGAATTTTCAAGCAGAACCATCACGTTTGGGTTAATTGGAATTCATTGTCTATTTCTCAACAGTGTTGAAATGAGAAAAGTTAGAATATTGAATGAACAAAAAAATTCTCCAAATTTTTTTTAACTTCATAATTTCAGATTTTCATACATCCTGTTTTCAGCAAAATAATTTAATGGAAAATTTTGGGAGGAAATCTGCTTTCTTTTGACAGAAATCCACAGAGTTAATAAGTAAAGATGTATAAAATGCTGCGATACACTCAAGGAAAGCGTAAATCGGGCAGAAATCAGCAAAACTAATTCCCAATACGATAGATTTTGAGGAGAAAAAGTTTTTACTTTTATTATTTCTTTTTACAATACTGTGAAAATAACAAAACAAGTAGCTAATCACAAAGATTTTATAGGCAAATTGGGCATAAACTTTTGTCAGCAAACAAATTGCCGATTGATATCATGAATAAAAATCAGGCCCAAACGTTTGAATTCACTAATACAAATTGCTAATCAGAAAGATTTTATGAACGCAAATCAGACACAAACTTTTGAATTCACTAATACAAATTACCACCCAGAAAGATTTTATGAACACAAATCCGACAAAAGTTTTTGAATTCACTGATACAAATTGCTGATCAGAAAGATTTTATGAACGCAAATCAGACACAAACCTTTGAATTCACTAATACAA